CAAATTTCTGTAAATCAGCATTGTAATCCTTAAGAATAAGCTTTGAGGCTGGTTTCATCATAATTAACAATTTGAGGAGTAAGTCCCTCAGCATCTACATGGGTTTTAAATTCCTTAACAAACTTTTCAGCCTCATCTCTGTTAGCACTCGCAGCCTCCCATGCCTTACTGCACTATGAATCCCACTCCTCTTTTTAAACCTGTCAAACCAGTCCCTACTTGCCTTAAATTCATCACTTTTGGCACTGTTTCCCAGTGTGTCTTGCCTAGGATCACTATATAACTGGTTTGCTTTTTCACAAATTATTGTTGCAGAAACACTGTCACTGGCCAGTTGTTTTTCGTTAATCCACACTAACAAAAGTTTTTCCATTTCTTCAGTTACCTGTGATCTTTTCACACTAGGAATTTTCACTCCTTCTGTTATATCAGCCCCTTTTATTTCCTCTTAATTTTTCAATATGGATGATATGGTGGATTTCGCCATACCATATTGAGTGGCCAGGTCTGACACATGTGTTCCACTTTCCCACTTCACAATGAGTTCTTTCTTCACTGTAATTGTTGTTCTCGCTGCTTTCCTTTTAGCTTGTTTAGATCACTAGTCATTTTTGGGGCCAGGATTACTTATTTTCAATGAAAATATTGAAAAAACACGATGGAATAACAAGGAAATACCAAAAAGTTTCATGGAGCTTATATGAAGGATCCTTAACAAATGAAAGCTGATGAGAGACTGAGCATGTGAGACTGTTTTCATCGGACTTTGTCCAGATGAACCGTTTTGTTTAGGTTGAATATCAGGGCAACATCCAAATACCAAGCCAAATTTTTCTCAAAAAGTTGGGTGAATATTGAGTTGTATGAATATAGGGACGTATGAATATTGAGGTTCCACTTTAATTGATAATAAGGATGAGAACTTAATATGTTTTATTTTGCTTTAACAGATTTGGACAATACCCTGAAGCAAACTTTGCCAAGGCAGGGGTACTCGCACTTTACAGGCGCTAGGGAAGAGTTTAACACACAGCCAGTACCCAGGAGAATCCCACATTACGAGGAGGATCCATTTTGGTAAGACAGTACGAGGTTAAAAATGCTTCTATGTGATTAGTTTTAATTTTATTGTTGCATATTGTCCATTCAGGCAAAAATACTGTATGTTTTTCAAATTGCTAGAAACCAGTTTGTATGAAATAGTAACTTGTTCTGAGTTTAACATTGAGTTGGCATGTCAGTATACTGCCTGGCAAAAATTATAGTATTGTATTAGTACTTTGCATATAAGCTAAGAAGAGAGGTGGTTTTTCATAACATTGGCCATTTTCTAATAGAGTAAGGTAACCCAGAGAATACCTGGAGTATACCTGGAGAGGGTTTCGGGGGTCAACGCCCCTGATCAGGGCCTGATCAACCAGGCTGTTACTGTTGGCTGCACACAACCCGACATACAAACCACAGCCTGGCTGGTCAGGTACTGACTTAAGGTGCCTGTTCAGCGCCTTCTTGAAGACAGCCAGGGGTCTATTGGTAATCCCCCTTATGTATGCTGGGAGGCAGTTAAACAGTCTTAGGCCCCTGACACATATTGTGTTTTCTCTTATCGTGCTAGTGGCACCCCTGCTTTTCATTGGGGGGATGTTGCATCGTCTACCGAGTCTTTTGCTTTTATAGGGAGTGATTTTCGTGTGCAAGTTTCGTACTAATCTCTGTAGGATTTTCCAAGTGTATATAATCGTGTATCTCTCCTGCCTGCATGCTAGGGAGTACAAATTGAGGAACTTCAAGTGTTCCCAGTAACTGAGGTGTTTTATCTCCGTTATGTGTGCCATGAAGGCTCTCTACATTTTCTAGGTCATCAGTTTCACCTGCCTTGAAAGGTGCTGAGTGTGCAACAATATTCCAGCCGAGATAAAACAAGCGACCTGAAGAGTGTCATCATGGGCTTGGCATCCCTAGTTTATCTATTTGTTATTTTTCTATCATGTATGATTGATACAATGTTGTGGTCTTTGAAAGTGAGATCCTCTGACATTATCACTCCCAGGTCATTTACACTAGTCTTTCGCGCTATTGTGTGGTTGGAATTTGTTTTATACTCCGATATAGTTTTAATTTCCTCACGTTTTCCATATCAGAGTAGTTGAAATTTCTCATCATTGAAGTTCATGTTGTTTTCTGCAGCCCATTTAAAAATTTGGTTGATTTCCACCTGGAGTCTTGCAGTGTCTTCAATGGAGGATACTGTCATGCAAATTCGGGTGCCATCTGCAAAGGAAGACACAGTGCTGTGGCTTACATCCCCGTCTATGTAGGAAACACATTCAGTATCACTTATTCTCTGGCTTGCCTTTCTGGCTAAACATTACATTACAGTTCAAAGGACTCCAGACTGCAATGTCACAGTATAGGTACTGTTTCAACAAATCATTGGTATACATTTTATGGGTACAGTGCAACATTTTAATGACAGTACTAGTAGTCATTTCCACCACTACTCATGCAGGTCATAAGAGGATGTAACCGTTACCTTTCTGGTCATCTAGATTTCATCTGACACTTTTCTTAGTCATTTGTGGTATGTGGGATATATATACTGTGTACTACATATGTTTTGACACTGATTTTCCAAATTAACATTTGTACTGTATTTATACAGTACTTATGGTTTTTATTTTACAAATTAGTACATACGTAATGCCCATCAATTTTGGCTATGCAGTACACTTTTTTACCTTTGGTTAAATTAAGAATTTCTGTAGTTTATGAAAACACTATACAGGAGGGCCCTGTGTATATAACAACCGCTTTTTGGTGTTCTTTGTTTTGTTTGACTTTCAGTTGAGCCATTGTTTATTATGTTTGGTCCTTTTACACCATTTTGCCATTTTTGTACAACAGTTGTGTAAAGGAAGGATGACTGGCACCATAATTTAAGGTAAATATTTTATGTACTGTGTATTTATTTTACTTCTATTTGTTTTTATGCCTAGCTGTATTGTTATCAGTCATTTTAGATGCAGTTGATAATGAAAAAACTCCTCTTTTCTACTTGCTGGTGCGTTTAGCTTACTGTATGGGTAGGGGCTGTTGAAGTGGTATGGGCATTTAGAGAGAATAGGAGTGTAATGGTCAACCCAGGAAGGGTTGCAGGGAGGGGGGGGGTATAGGAGGTTTTTGAGTACCATGTGTTCTAGCATCCAGAGGATAGTGTGATTGTTAGATTGGAGTGAGTGGACACAAGTTATTTTTATGGCTTGATATGATGTTGGAGTGTGGAGAGGGTAACATTTATGAATAGATTCAAGGAAACCAGTTAGTTGAACTTGAGTCCTGGAGGCAAGAGGTACAGTGCCTGCATTCTGAAGGAGGGGTGGGGATGTTGTAGCTTTGAGAATCATTTGAATTGTGATGCTGAAGGGAAGAGGAGTGAGTAATTTCATGCATTGGCCAAGGAGGTATAACATCCCTTAGGAGTGAGGAAGAGCCACATGTGAGAGTGGTAGGATTGATGGGATCTTGACAAATATTGAAACCAGGTGGGGATATAGTTTGGATTGGTTAGTCATTTGTTCAATAAATGTAGGAAAGAAGGGAAGGTACTTTGGGATTGCTAGAGAGGGTACATAGTTCCTACGTATAAAAGAAAGCGGGTCAAAAGAGAGAGAGTAAAAATTATAGGGGAATAAGCCTGTTGAGTATACCAGATAAAGTGTAGGGTTATTATTGAAAGAATTGATAGTAAGATGGAAAGCAGGATTGCGCAGATGAACAAGAAGGTATTGGCCTGCCTCTGGCAAGACGGTGAGGGAGTGAATGATGGTGAAAGTGTTTCCTTTTCTAGTTTCCCTACCTCAGTACCAGAGTGTTTAAAAAAAATCTGTTTCAACAAGTACATTATACAGGTGACACAGGCCTAGCTGACATCATTGACATACTGTATAGAAAGCCCCTGGTTATGCAGAACATTTTGGGCAACTTAGGTTAGTCTTGTCCCCCCCTTCCCTGTATGCAACCCACAACAGTCTTCTAGCACTCAGGTACACACTCAGATACGTACGTACCGCTAGATGAACAGGGGCAGCAAGACAGCTGGTGAATGAAAGCTGGTAATAATTTTTTTGTTGGGGGGGCGTTCACCTTACCTTGGTGGGAGAAGGCAAGTGCATTAGAAAAAATGATGATTACAGTACAGTATAACTGCATTATACTTGTTGCAGAGAAACTGTAAGAACATTGGGGATTGTTTGGGATGGAAGACTAATAAGAGATTAACCTAGTTAACAAAATAAATACAGTAGTATAGTATATAGTGTTACACAAATTTAAGTCTGGCAAAATAAATGCACTTTACATTGAAAATCCGTACTATTGTATATTAGTTATAGATATAAAGTTGTTTTTATTCATATTTCTTGTCAGACTCACAGTGCATATTGCATTTTGAGTTTGAGCCTAGTAAATAAGGTAATGTGTTAGTATTGTTTGTGATCAGGTATTGGGTTATTTCTTACATTCTGCAGATCTTTCATTTTCTTTAATTGTTTATATCTTCTCCTATCACCTGTGATTGGTAATATAGTACAAGGTAATGATGTGTTCTAAAGTTCACCATTGTGTTGATAAATAGAAGTTTATCATTTTTAAGTGCAATTTTAATTTTACACAAAGTAAATTTTCTTAATTCTTTTTATAAACAGTTATTAGTATAGAAAATTTATTGCACTGAATACATCAGAAATATTTTCTTATTTTTTCAGGAAGAACAGACAAGATAATTTGGTTCATGGCAGGGATCATCACACAGATACAAGTTACCATGACTATAAAGGAATTCACCATGAACCAGAGCGAATACCCACAGCCAATCCTCGTGGAGCCTGGAACCATGGGAGAAGGACCAAACAATCTGGGAGAGGAGCACGTGGAAGAGTGGTGGCGAAAGCTGAACCTCCCTTAGTACTGGGTGGCATCCCTCACTTAAAACGTTCCTTTGTTATGAATAAAAATTCTGATGATCCTGATACATGTAGTGAGAAAGAAACTTTAGATAAAGGAAAAACTGGAAGTGCATGTACTTCAAGTATGATGACACCAAATGTGGCTGGGGAAAATAGTAGAAATAAAAGCTCAGTAGGTTCAATGGAAAGAGATGCAGGCTGCAAAACTGAAAATAATTATAATGCTAAAGTAAGTGAAGCATGGCCTCAGCACTCCAGCACTGATAATACCCAAATTGCAGATTATAGACAAGAGGTTCCCAAGAGACATAGTCATGCCTGTGAGGAATCTGTCAATATTCGTGGACTCCTGAATGAGAGTAGGCAAGTACATCAGGAGCTGAATGTTGAAAATAGTGCTGCTAATGAATCGCAAAAAGTGACTAACTACAACAGTGAAAGAAATCATAATTATGGCAAAGCATATGAAGACAATAGTAGTGTTTGTCAACCATCCATAGCACCTTCACAGACTTCTGTGCCTGCCGATACTGCTAAGCTGGAAATGGAAACTGAACGCTACTATGATGAGCTGTTGGGAAAAGAAGAATCTGAAAAGAATGTGGCTGAGAAGCTGTCAGCATCTCAAGTGGCTAAAATCACCATCAGCTACAAAACTGATGAAGAACAAAAAAAAGCAGAAGAGGAGAGAATTAAGGAAGTGGAACAAAGAGAAAAAGAACAACAGGCTCAAATAGAATCAGCTTGGTCAGTGTTACATCAATACTGGCAGTTTGTCAGAGAAAATCCATATGATTTTAATGGATGGACTTATCTTTTGAATCATGTTGAGAGTATGGTAAGTAATGTTAGAATCTGAATATTTAGCTAATGTTTTTCTCTCACTGTATCTACTTACATTTGATTGTACTCACAGTCTGTGACTATTATATATATGTTGGTAGAACCTCTAAATCAAAACTTAAATTCCAACATATTTAAATAAAAGGCACACAGTTTCTCTTATAGCTGAAGAGGAGAAACAAGATCTCAGTTATTTTGTGCTGGAGTAAAACATATATGTAGAGCAAGATTTTGACAGTGTTTCTTTCTGTGTAGACTGTAGATCTTTATTAGGTCATTTTTTGTGCTGTATGACCCAAACAGCATGAGCATTTCTCTTATAATAATAATAATAATAATAATAATAATAATAATAATCAGTTACAAGATTTCCAGGAAATAGAGGAGAATTGTAATGTTAGTCTAATATGAAGAAGTCTTTAAATTGGAGATTAAAATTCAAGTTTGTAAACATTCTGACAAGAAATGAAAATCTCCCAATTCTTCATGATATCATATCTTCATCAGCTGTTAACCCATATAGGTTTAGCACTTCCCCTTTTTTATTCAGTAAACCAGCGATCTCCCACTGAGGCACGGTGACCCAAAAAAAAGAAACACTTTCACCATCACTCCATCACTGTTTTGCCGGAGGGGCACCGATGTTACACCCCTCCTTAAGAGTGCAGGCACTGTACTTCCCACCTCCAGGACTCAAGTCTGGCTAACTGGTCTCCCTGAATCCTTTCTTAAATGTTACTTTTCTCACACTCTAACAACACATCAAGTCATAAAAACCAATTGCCTCCACTCACTCCTATGTAACATGCTCATGCATGCATATTGGATGTCTAAGCCCCTCACACACAAAAACCTCCCTATGAATATAATAATAATAATAATAATAATAATAATAATAATATTTATCATGTACGTATATCATATCATCATATATATCATATACATGTATATTCTTCCAATGTACCAGCCATATCCCACTGAGGTGGGGTGGCCCAAAAGAAAAAGCGAAAGTTTCTCCTTTTAAATTTAGCAATATATACAGGAGAAGGGGTTACTAGTCTCTTGCTTCCGGAATTTTAGTTGCATGGCTTACGGAGGAACAATTCTGTTCCACTTCCCCATGGAGATAAGAGGAAATAAACAAGAACAAGAACTAGAAAGAAAATAGAAGAAAACCCAGAAGGGTGTGTATATATATGCTTGTACATGTATGTGTAGTGTGACCTAAGTGTAAGTAGAAGTAGCAAGACGTACCTGAAATCTTGCATGTTTATGAGACAGAAAAAAAGGACACCAGCAATCCTACCATCATGTAAAACAAGTACAGGCTTTCGTTTTACACTCGGTAGAACAGTAGTACCTCCCTGGGCAGTTGCTGTCTACCAACCGACTACCTAGAATATATATATATATATATATATTTTTTTTTCAACAAGTCGGCCGTCTCCCACCGAGGCAGGGTGACCCAAAAAAGAAAGAAAATCCCCAAAAAGAAAATACTTTCATCATCATTCAACACTTTCACCACACTCGCACATTATCACTGTTTTTGCAGAGGTGCTCAGAATACAACAGTCTAGAAGCATACACATATAAAGATACACAACATATCCCTCCAAACTGCCAATATCCCAAACCCCTCCTTTAAAGTGCAGGCATTGTACTTCCCATTTCCAGGACTCAAGTCCGACTATATGAAAATAACCGGTTTCCCTGAATCCCTTCACTAATATTACCCTGCTCACACTCCAACAGATCGTCAGGTCCCAAGTACCATTCGTCTCCATTCACTCCTATCTAACACGCTCACGCACGCTTGCTGGAAGTCCAAGCCCCTTGCCCACAAAACCTCCTTTACCCCCTCTCTCCAACCCTTTCGAGGACGACCCCTACCCCGCCTTCCTTCCCCTATAGATTTATATGCTTTCCATGTCATTCTACTTTGATCCATTCTCTCTAAATGACCAAACCACCTCAACAACCCCTCTTCTGCCCTCTGACTAATACTTTTATTAACTCCACACCTTCTCCTAATTTCCACACTCCGAATTTTCTGCATAATATTTACACCACACATTGCCCTTAAACAGGACATCTCCACTGCCTCCAACCGTCTCCTCGCTGCTGCATTTACCACCCAAGCTTCACACCCATATAAGAGTGTTGGTACTACTATACTTTCATACATTCCCTTCTTTGCCTCCATAGATAACGTTTTTTGACTCCACATATGCCTCAACGCACCACTCACCTTTTTTCCCTCATCAATTCTATGATTAACCTCATCCTTCATAAATCCATCCGCCGACACTTCAACTCCCAAGTATCTGAAAACATTCACTTCTTCCATACTCCTCCTCCCCAATTTGATATCTAATTTTTCTTTATCTAAATCATTTGATACCCTCATCACCTTACTCTTTTCTATGTTCACTTTCAACTTTCTACCTTTACACACATTCTCAAACTCATCCACTAACCTTTGCAATTTTTCTTTAGAATCTCCCATAAGCATAGTATCATCAGCAAAAAGTAACTGTGTCAATTCCCATTTTGAATTTGATTCCCCATAATTTAATCCCACCCTCTCCCGAACACCCTAGCATTTACTTCTTTTACAACCCCATCTATAAATATATTAAACAACCATGGTGACATTACACATCCCTGTCTAAGACCTACTTTTACCGGGAAGTATTCTCCCTCTCTTCTACATACCCTAACCTGAGCCTCACTATCCTCATAAAAGTTCTTTACAGCATTTAGTAACTTACCACCTATTCCATATACTTGCAACATCTGCCACATTGCTCCTCTATCCACTCTATCATATGCCTTTTCTAAATCCATAAATGCAGTAAAAACTTCCCTACCTTTATCTAAATACTGTTCACATATATGCTTCAATGTAAACACTTGATCTACACATCCCCTACCCACTCTGAAACCTCCTTGCTCATCCACAATCCTACATTCTGTCTTACCTCTAATTCTTTCAATTATAACCCTACCGTTCACTTTTCCTGGTATACTCAGTAAACTTCTTCCTCTATAATTTTTAGTCTCTTTTGTCCCCTTTCCCTTTATATAAAGGGACTATACATGCTCTCTGCCAATCCCTAGGTACCTTCCCCTCTTTCATACATTTATTAAACAAAAGTACCAACCACTCCAACACTATATCCCCCCCCCCTGCTTTTAACATTTCTGTCATGATCCCATCAGTTCCAGCTGCTTTACCCCCTTTCATTCTACGTAATGCCTCACGTACCTCCACCACACTTACATTCTGCTCTTCTTCACTCCTAAAAGATGGTATACCTCCCTGGCCAGTGCATGAAATTACCGCCTCCCTTTCTTCCTCAACATTTAAAAGTTCCTCAAAATATTCTCGCCATCTACCTAATACCTCCCTCTCCCCATCTACTAACTCCCCTACTCTGTTTTTAACTGACAAATCCATACTTTCCCTAGGCTTTCTTAACTTGTTTAACTCACTCCAAAATTTTTTCTTATTTTCATTAAAATTTCTTGACAGTGCCTCTCCCACTCTTTCATCTGCTCTCCTTTTGCACTCTCTCACCACTCTCTTCACCTTTCTTTTACTCTCCATATACTCTGCTCTTCTTATAACACTTCTGCTTTGTAAAAACCTCTCGTAAGCTACCTTTTTCTCTTTTATCACACCCTTTACTTCATCATTCCACCAATCACTCCTCTTTCCTCCTGCCTCCACCCTCCTATGACCACAAACTTCTGCCCCACATTCTAATACTGCATTTTTAAAACTATTCCAACCCTCTTCAATCCCCCCACTACTCATCTTTGCACTAACCCACCTTTCTGCCAATAGTCACTTATATCTCGCCCGAACTTCCTCCTCCCTTAGTTTATACACTTTCACCTCCCTCTTACTTGTTGCTGCCACCTTCCTCTTTTCCCATCTACCTCTTACTCTAACTGTAGCTACAACTAAATAATGATCTGATATATCAGTTGCCCCTCTATAAACATGTACATCCTGGAGCCTACCCATCAACCTTTTATCCACCAATACATAATCTAACAAACTACTTTCATTATGTGCTACTTCATACCTTGTATATTTATTTATCCTCTTTTTCATAAAATATGTATTACTTATTACCAAATTTCTTTCTACACATAGCTCAATTAAAGGCTCCCCATTTACATTTACCCCTGGCACCCCAAATTTACCTACTACTCGCTCCATAACATTTTTTCCCACTTTAGCATTGAAATCCCCAACCACCATTACTCTCACACTTGATTCAAAACTCCCCACGCATTCACTCAACATTTCCCAGAATCTCTCTCTCTCCCCCTACACTTCTCTCTTCTCCAGGTGCATACACGCTTACTATAACCCACTTTTCACATCCAATCTTTATTTTACTCCACATAATCCTTGAATTTATACATTTGTAGTCCCTCTTTTCCTGCCATAGCTTATCCTTCAACATTATTGCTACTCCTTCTTTAGCTCTAACTCTATTTGAAACCCCTGACCTAATCCCATTTATTCCTCTCCATTGAAACTCACCCACCCCCTTCAGCTTTGTTTCACTTAAAGCCAGGACATCCAGTTTCTTCTCATTCATAACATCCACAGTCATCTCTTTCTTATCATTTGCACAACATCCACGCAGGATAGTGAGGCTCAAGTTAGGGTATGTAGGAAAGAGGGAAATTATTTCCCAGTAAAAGTTGGCCTTAGACAAGGATGTGTGATGTCACCGTGGTTGTTTAATATATTTATAGATGGGGTTGTAAGAGAAGTAAATGCGAGGGTCTTGGCAAGAGGCGTGGAGTTAAAAGATAAAGAATCACACATAAAGTGGGAGTTGTCACAGTTGCTCTTTGCTGATGACACTGTGCTCTTGGGAGATTCTGAAGGGAAGTTGCAGAGATTGGTGGATGAATTTGGTAGGGTGTGCAAAAGAAGAAAATTGAAAGTGAATACAGGAAAGAGTAAGGTTATGAGGATAACAAAAAGATTAGGTGATGAAAGATTGGATATCAGATTGGAGGGAGAGAGTATGGAGGAGGTGAATGTATTCAGATATTTGGGAGTGGACGTGTCAGCGGATGGGTCTATGAAAGATGAGGTGAATCATAGAATTGATGAGGGAAAAGGGTGAGTGGTGCACTTAGGAGTCTGTGGAGACAAAGAACTTTGTCCTTGGAGGCAAAGAGGGGAATGTATGAGAGTATAGTTTTACCAACGCTCTTATATGGGTGTGAAGCATGGGTGATGAATGTTGCAGCGAGGAGAAGGCTGGAGGCAGTGGAGATGTCATGTCTGAGAGCAATGTGTGGTGTGAATATAATGCAGAGAATTCGTAGTTTGGAAGTTAGGAGGAGGTGCGGGATTACCAAAACTGTTGTCCAGAGGGTTGAGGAAGGGTTGTTGAGGTGGTTCGGACATGTGGAGAGAATGGAGCGAAACAGAATAACTTCAAGAGTGTATCAGTCTGTAGTGGAAGGAAGGCGGGGTAGGGGTCGGCCTAGGAAAGGTTGGAGGGAGGGGGTAAAGGAGGTTTTGTGTGCGAGGGGCTTGGACTTCCAGCAGGCATGCGTGAGCGTGTTTGATAGGAGTGAATGGAGACAAATGGTTTTTAATACTTGACGTGCTGTTGGAGTGTGAGCAAAGTAACATTTATGAAGGGGTTCAGGGAAACCGGCAGTCCGGACTTGAGTCCTGGAGATGGGAAGTACAGTGCCTGCACTCTGAAGGAGGGGTGTTAATGTTGCAGTTTAAAAACTGTAGTGTAAAGCACCCTTCTGGCAAGACAGTGATGGAGTGAATGATGGTGAAAGTTTTTCTTTTTCGGGCCACCCTGCCTTGGTGGGAATCGGCCAGTGTGATAATAAATAAACAAATAACATCCACGCACATTCAGACTTTCTACTTTGACAATTTTCTTCTTCTTATTCTTTTTAGTAATCTTTACAGGAAAAGGGGTTACTAGCCCATTGTTCCGGCATTTAGTTGACTTTTACAACACGCATGGCTTACGGAGGAAAGATTCTTATTCCACTTCCCCATGGATATAAAAGGAAAAGTAATAAGACCAAGAACTATTAAGATAAAATCAAAGAAAACTCAGATGAGTGTGTATAAATAAACGTGTTCATGTATGTGTATAATCATCATCATCATCATCATCATCATCATCATCATCATCATCATCATCGTCATCGTCATCGTCATCATCATCATCATCATCATCATCATCATCATCATCATCATCATCATCATCATCATCAATCATCACCAGCACCAGCACCACCACCACCACCACCACCACTTTTTTTTTCATAAAACACAACTAAGTTCAGTTTTTCTGGTCACTAACACTAGGATTTTTATTTTTATACATTCTTGGATACGTTATCATTATCATATAACCAACATATATTGTAATTAGCTTCTACTATTTTTTCTTTCCTATCCTCTGAAAACACCTCTCTGCTTTTTTTTTACTTTGCTAGGTAAATACTGTACTAATGGAAAGAAAGTGTGCAAGCTATGAATCTGTTCAAAGCTTTGGTATATAACCCATTCCTGGGCTGAAAACAACAAGCTTAAAAGTTAAGAAGTTGCTAGTTTGATACTTGGAGGATAGCCCATTGAGATGTTATGGCTATGTGAAATTAGCCAAGGGGTAGACCATTGAAAAATTGCATATGTAGCTTATGAGCTTTTGAAATAAACAGAAAGATGTTGTGTATCTTTATACGTATATGCTTCTAAACTGTTGTGTTCTGAGCACCTCTGCAAAAACAGTGATTATGTGTGAGTGAGGTGAAAGTGTTGAATGATGATGAAAGTATTTTCTTTTTGGGGATTTTCTTTCTTTTTGGGTCACCCTGCCTCGGTGGGAGACGGCCGACTTGTTGAAAAAGAAAAAAAAAAAATTTACAGTGACAATGATGAGAGGTTAAATTTGGGTAAAGTTGTTTTGGAGGAGTATGCCACTTAACAGTTAAGGTTTAGAAGTTCTCTTAAGTAACTAAAATCCTTACTTCCTTATATTCCTTTCAAGGGAACTATCTGGATACTGGCACCTGTTAGTGTGCAGGTGATGACTATGTGTCTGACGTATTAGTGCATACAGTTTTTTTGTGCCTTTAAATACCTGCCCATATTTTTGTTCTCAGCACAGCTGATTGGGTCTCCTATAACCTCTTCATGCTTTTGAAGGAAACTTAAAGACCAGAGGTTCATTCAGTACATCTTAGGGGTAATACTGTCTAACTATCTTAAGTAGCAAGAAGCCAGGGTCTGTTGTTCCACCACCAGCTTCCCTACCAACAAGCAGGATGTGTAACTGGCAGGAAGGTGCCTTATTCCACATTTTTCACAATTTCATGACACTAAATGGTGGAATTCAGTTGAAAAGTACAGTGGACCCCCGGTTAACGATATTTTTCACTCCAGAAGTATGTTCAGGTGCCAGTACTGACCGAATTTGTTCCCATAAGGAATATTGTGAAGTAGATTAGTCCATTTCAGACCCCCAAACATACACGTACAAACGCACTTACATAAATACACTTACATAATTGGTCGCATTTGGAGGTGATCGTTATGCGGGGGTCCACTGTACACTGTAAATTTAACGTAGGATACTGTAATTAAGTCACTGTAATTAAGTCATTGTACAGTAACTTATTTCCATGTTACGATGAGTACTACACCCTGAAACAATTACATCATAAGATTTCCTCATAAATACATGCTTTACAGTGGACTTTAAGGCATGCAGTTGTTATGGATGCAGAAATTATATTATGCTTATTTAATGCAGGATATTCCCTCAAACCCAAATATGCAGTATAACATAATAATTAACCTAGGATAGCCCTATACTGTGTAGTTAAACTATGTGACTTGTTTCCATATTTTAAGGAGCATTACATCTTGAAACACTTGTAATATTATAAGCATTCCTTGTACATAGTGTTAGAAAGCCAAATCAGTAAAATATAGAAACAATTATTTCACCAATTTATGCTGCATATTCCAAGTGGAGCAGTGCGGGGCTATGCACTTCCCCATGTTTGAAGTACCAAACACCTTCAAACACACCTAATATAAAAATAACGTAGTGTACAAAGTATTAAAACATTAAAAACAATAAAAATACTAAAAAACTGATAATTTGATATCAACAAATTGCAAAATGTAAATATCACTAGTGCATAAGTTTTCATCAGATTTAACTCATTTAATCTTTAACGATTCATAAAAACTCACTCTTTAATATATAAAAAATGTATTTTTTTTTTTCAAAATCTTGGCCCCACACAGGAAATTTAATTTCAGAATATGTCACAGTACAGGGGTTAAGAAAAAAATAAAGGTAGTTGTTGTCTTTGTTTTTGTGGTAGTGGTGGTAATATATTCCAAATTCCCATGTCATTCTTTTGTGCATAACTCAGATGTATTTATTCCTCTTCTCTAAATATTTACCATTTAGGGCAAGTTCTCAACTGTGAAAAAAAAAAAAATTAGTAGTACATGTATATTAGCTGGTCTGGGTCATATGTTTGAATAATAAGAAATTTATGAACTGCCTTTAATTGTATAATCTACTGATGCATATATGTTATTATTATAAAATAATTTATGTTGTCACTTGTATCATATATACTTTATATATTCCAGGATAATTTGGAAGTCGCACGCTCTGCCTTTGATGGATTCTTGCCACTGTATCCTTATTGTTTTGCTTATTGGAAAAAGTTGAGCGACATGGAGCTAAAACACAATGACATGAGGAGGTAGGCTTTCTCTATTTTATATGATTTTTTTTTGTCTATTGTTGTATAGTTTTGTTATTTTTAGTGAAGCAAAAATATATTGTAGAAATGTACTTAATTCTCTGTTTGTATTAGTATACTTTTCAATAAAAAATGCAGTAGCCTTACAGTATTTGCAGCTTTACCATTCTCCAAATTTTGGTATTCACACTTTGGTAAAGATATACCTATTTCAATATTTGAGAGGTTACTGAGACTGTTGTGGCCTCAACCTCCTACCCAGCAAGCAACAACCTCTTGACATGAATCTTCTCTGAAACTTTTCTTACCTGCCACCCCATCAGTAACTGTCCATTAGGGTACAGTAAACTCTTGATAAAATGGACTTCTATAAAGTGAATACATGTATTTGCTAAAATGGATAAAAATTCTGGCTGGACAAAGGCTCAACATGTATGTTTAATGGTGTACCCGATAAAAATAGCAATGTAGTTGTCCAGTCATACCATTGATAAAGTGGACCAAGTCTGTTTTATATGAAGTTCGTCCAGTCCAGGCTTTGTGCAGGACATGTCCATTTTTGTAGTTCTTTGTAAGAGGGGCATCTGGCCCAACCCGTGTCAGTTTATTATTGTCTTTGTGCCTGCTTATGTACTCTCACTATCTTGGGAGGAAAGAACTAGTGATTGAAGAAAATATTAGTTTCTAGATAAGCCAGACTGAGTCCTGGAGGTGGGAAGTACAGTGCCTGCATTCTGATGGAGGTGGTGGGGATATTGCAGTTTGGAGGGGCATCTGAACTGCAGTATCAGTGTGTTACTGGGAAGACAGTGTTGGAGTGAGCGATGGTGAAACTGTTTCTTCCTTTTCGGGTCACCCTACTTCAGTGGGAGACGGCTGCTGTGTTAAAAATATCATTCAAAATTGTATTGTAAGATGTTTAATGCTAGCTTAGCAACTATTTATAAATGTAACATTCAGTGGTGGGTGATGGTAGAAGAAAGTGGTAGTGGTGGTTGATGGTAGAAGAAAGTGGTAGTGGTGGGTGATGGTAGAAGAAAGTGGTAGTAGTGGTTGATGGTGGAAGAAAGTGGTAGTGGTGGATGATGGTGGAAGAAAGTGGTAGTGGTGGGTGATGGTAGAAGAAAGTGGTAGTGGTGGTTGATGGTGGAAGAAATTGGTAGTGGTGGATGATGGTGGAAGAAAGTGGTAGTGGTGGATGATGGTAGAAGAAAGTGGTAGTAGTGGTTGATGGTAGAAAAAGTGGTAGTAGTGGTTGATGGCAGAAAAAGTGGTAGTGGTGGATGATGGTAGAAGAAAGTGGTAGTGGTGGGTGATGGTAGAAGAAAGTGGTAGTAGTGGTTGATGGTAGAAGAAAGTGGTAGTGGTGGGTGATGGTAGAAGAAAGTGGTAGTAGTGGTTGATGGTAGAAGAAAGTGGTAGTAGTGGTTGATGGTAGAAAAAGTGGTAGTGGTGGATGATGGTAGAAGAAAGTGGTAGTGGTGGGTGATGGTAGAAGAAGGTGGTAGTGGTAGGTGATGGTAGAAGTAAGTGGTAGTGGTGGTAGGATGGTAGAAGAAAGTGGTAGTGGTGGGTGATGGGGAAGAATGTGGTAGTGGTATAGGATGATGGTAGAAAGTGGTAGTGGTGTAGGATGATGGTAGATAGTGGTAGTGGTGTAGGATGATGGTAGATAGTGGTAGTGGTGTAGGATGATGGTAGATAGTGGTAGTGGTGTAGGATGATGGTAGATAGTGGTAGTGGTGAAGGATGATGGTAGATAGTGGTAGTGGTGTAGGATGATGGTAGATAGTGGTAGTGGTGTAGGATGATGGTAGATAGTGGTAGTGGTGTAGGATGATGGTAGATAGTGGTAGTGGTGTAGGATGATGGTAGAAAGTGGTAGTGGTGAAGATGGATGTGGTAATAATGCTTGGATTACCAACAATATGTTAGGTAAAAGGTTGCAGATGCAAATAATGTGACATTTTACTGTGGCAACATGTCACTCTCCAGGAGCTTTGTCAAGCTGTTACAAACAATACAGGGATACAGAGGGTATGTATATATGTAGGTAACAGTATGAGGTGAGAGAGCATGAGCACTGCAGTAGGCCTATTGGTCCATGTTGTAGGTGGTGGCAGTGGTGTTGGTGGTAGTGGTAGTGGTGGTGGCGGCAGTAGTAGTGGTTTTAGTAATACAGTAGTGGTAATAGTAGTAGTAGTGGTGGTAGTGGAAGCAGTAGTGGTAGAGGTGGTGGTATTAGTACCACCACCTCTACCACTAGTAGTAGTAGTAGTACTAACAGTGGGTAGTAGCAGCAGTGACAGTGGTAGTGCCACCAGCTGCTTTACGTTACATAAATCACCAGTTTACAGCTATATCAGCTTGGGGAAAACGATGGCAGGTCACATTTGCTTCTGAGAAAACATAATGATGATGTCTCTAGGCATTATGATGGTAAGGCTGGAGCAGTGGTAATAATGAATAGGAGAGTTCTGGTACCCTGGGATGAGGTTGAATAGAGAACAGAGCAAGACGACTCATCTCTCACCTGAATCTGGCCTGGACAGATGTGTCATTTCAACAGAGCCTTCAACACCAGAGAGATGTGGGTTGCCTTACTGTTATGTACAAGACCAGTATTGTCAAAGTACCACACTTAGTTACAATCTGAGGACAGTGAGAAATGAGCTTCTACACAACAAGATGGGCACCAGACAGCACCTACACTCTGACTGTACCCTTCTCCAGAACATTGCTTTATCTGAGATCATTTATTCCTAGGATGACTCATGTCTGGAACAGGTTCATACAGAATAATGACATCAGTGAATTACAGTCAGTGGACCAAATGAAATTGCTTACCCACAGATGACTCCAACTTCATCCTGTTCACTATCTGTCTTATAACAGCTCTTAGCTTGTAAATAAAGTTAGGAACTCTTAACCTAATACTGTAAAACCTTGTGTAAAAAAAGTGGGAAAGTGGGATAGAGAAAGGGCAGGATAGAGAGAGGGTAGGAGAGAGAGAGAGAGAGAGAGAGAGGTGGGTGGGAGAGAGTGAGAGATAGAGAGGGTGGGAGAGAGTGGGAGATAGAGAGAGAGAGGGTGGGAGAGAGAGAGAGAGAATGGGAGAGAGAGAGGGTGGGAGAGAGAGAGGGTGGGAGAGAAAGGGTGGGAGAGAGAAAGAGGGGGTCTACCTGGAGGGCATTCCGGGGATCAACGCCTCCGCTGCCCGGTCCATGACCAGGCCTCCCAGTGGATCAGGGCCTGATCAACGAGGCTGTTACTGCTGGGCGCATGCAATCCAACGTACGAACCACAGCCCGGCTGATCCGGCACCGTCTTTAGGGTGGGAGAGAGAGAGAGAGAGGGGTGAGAGAGAGAGAGAGAGAGAGAGAGAGAGAGAGAGATATGAAAGTATGCCAGTATTAGAGTTTTTTTCTTTGTCCTGCTGTCATTAGTGCACTGGACTAAATCTGCTCTATTGGGCATTCGTCCGTGTCTCGTAGTCAGTTGATTAAGTAGTCTTCTTTCAACACACTGGCCGTATCCCACCGAGGCGGGGTGGCCCAAAAAGAAAAACAAAAATTTCTCTTTTTAAATTTAGTAATTTATATGGGAGAAGGGGTTACTAGCCCCTTGCTCCCGGCATTTTAGTCGCCTCTTACAACACACATGGCTTACGGAGGAAGAATTCTGTTCCACTTCCCCATGGAGACGAGGAAATAAACAAGAACAAGAACTAGAAAGAAAATAGAAGAAAACCCAGAGGGGTGTGTATATATATGCTTGTATATGTATGTGTAGTGTGACCTAAGTGTAAGTAGAAGTAGCAAGACATACCTGAAATCTTGCATGTTTATGAGACAGACAGAAGACACCAGCAATCCTACCATCATGTAAAACAATTACAGGCTTTCGTTTTACGCTCACTTGGCAGGACGGTAGTACCTCCCTGGGTGGTTGCTGTCTACCAACCTACTACCTAGATTAAGTAGACTATGTCCACTTAATCAAAACTTTCAGTATAACTGATTTTCACTTAATTGGACACACCTTTCCCCTACTAATCTGTTTTATGAAGGCTTCACTGCACTATCATCATATGAATGTGAAATGGAAGCCTATTAAATATATTACACTGGCGACATTTCTATATGACTTGTGGTTTTAGTGCTGCTCTATGAATTTATTAATTTAGTTCTCCTTCATGAGCATGTAAAATGGCAGGTAAATCATACAAACTTCTTAATCTCCATGTGCATTTATTTTTACTTTCCTAATGATTTTTTAATATGATGGTTCTTGTTTCTATGGTGTTTTCTTTGTAATCAGTTTCTTCTTATTTATTAATTTAGCTTGTAAAATTATAAGTACACGTACTATAATTTAAAAATTTAGTGCAGTACAGTTATAATTAGTGTAGTTATTAAAGATATACACAAAGGCTTAGAATAAAATAACTGAATAATATTTTTGTATTTTATAGGTGCCTGGGCGTTCTTCTGATTGGTACTGAATGTGTGCCATTTTGCACAGACTTGTGGGTGTCATTGCTAAATAATATGATCATGTATGCCAAGCAGATGGACTTTCCTCTTCAGTTGGTACGAGAGTAAGTAATGGAAAGACATATTGCTATTGTCTGATATTCACTTCATGAAGCTTCTCAGCTAAGTTAGGTTTCAGTATTATAATTATATATCTGTTTCATAAAAATCCAGTTTGCTTTTAAAAATAACTTTCCTGGGTATTTTTCAATTTTTTTTTTTATTTTTTATTAACACATTGGCCATTTCCCACCAAGGCAGGGTGATCTGAAAAAGAAAAACTTTCATCATCATTCACTCCATCAGTGTCTTGCCAGAGGCATGCCTACACTACAGTTATAAAACTGCAACATTAACACGACCACCCAGGGAAGTACTACCGTCCTGCCAAGTGAATGTAAAACAAAAGCCTGTAATTGTTTTACATGATGGTAGGATTGCTGGTGTCTTTTGTCTGTCTCATAAATATGCTAGATTACAGGTATGTCTTGCTACTTCTACTTACACTTAGGTCACACTACACATACATGTACACGTTTATTTATACACACTCATCTTGAGTTTTCTTTGATTTTATCTTAATAGTTCTTGGTCTTATTACTTTTCCTTTTATATCCATGGGGAAGTGGAATAAGAATCTTTCCTCTGTAAGCCATGCGTGTTGTAAAAGTCAACTAAAATGCCGGGAACAATGGGCTAGTAACCCTTTTCCCTGTAAAGATTACTAAAAAGAATAAGAAGAAAATTGTCAAAGTGGGAAGTCTGAATGTGCGTGGATGTTATGCAAATGATAAGAAAGACATGATTGTGGATGTTATGAATGAGAAGAAGCTGGATGTCCTGGCTTTAAGTGAAACGAAGCTGAAGGGGGTGGGAGAGTTTCAATGGAGAGGAATAAATGGGATTAGGTCAGGGGTTTCAATAGAGTTAGAGCTAAAGAAGGAGTAGCAATAATGTTGAAGGATAAGCTATGGCAGGAAAAGAGGACTATAAATGTATTAATTCAAGGATTTATGTGGAGTAAAATAAGATTGGATGTGAAAAGTGGGTTATAGTAAGCGTGTATGCACCTGGAGAAGAAAGAAGTGTAGAGGAGAGAGAAAGATTTTGGGAAATGTTGAGTGAATGCGTGGGAGTTTTGAATCAAGTGTGAGAGTAATGGGTGGTTGGGGATTTCAATGCTAAAGTGGGTAAAAATGTTATGGAGGGAGTAGTAGGGTAAATTTGGGGGTGCCAGGGGTAAATACGTAAATGGGGAGCCTTTAGTTGAGCTATGTGTAGAAAGAAATTTGGTAATAAGTAATACATATTTTATGAAAAAGAGGATAAATAAATATACAAGGTTATGATGTAGCACATAATGAAGTAGTTTGTTAGATTATGTATTGGTGGATAAAAGGTTGATGGGTAGGCTCCAGGATGTACATGTTTATAGAGGGGCAACTGATATATCAGATCATTATTTAGTTGTAGCTACAGTTAGAGTAAGAGGTAGATGGGAAAAGAGGAAGGTGGCAACAACAAGTAAGAGGAGGTGAAAGTGTATAAACTAAGGGAGGAGGAAGTTCAGGCGAGATATAAGCGACTGTTGGCAGAAAGGTGGGCTAGTGCAAAGATGAGTAGTGGGGGGTTGTTGAAGAGGGTTGGAATAGTTTTAAAAATGCAGTATTAGAATGTGGGACAGAAGTTTGTGGTTATAGAAGGGTGGGGGCAGGTGGAAAGAGGAGTGATTGGTGGAATGATGAAGTAAAGGGTGTGATAAAAGAGAGAAAGTTAGCTTATGAGGGGTTTTTACAAAGCAGAAGTGTTATAAGAAAAGCAGAGTATATGGAGAGTAAAAGAAAGGTGAAGAGAGTGGTAAGAGAGTGCAAAAGGAGAGCAGATGATAGAGTGGGAGAGGCACTGTCAAGAAATTTTAATTAAAATAAGAAAAAATTTTGGAGTTAAACAAGTTAGAAAGCCTAGGGAAAGTATGGATTTGTCAGTTAAAAACAGAGTAGGGGAGTTAGTAGATGGGGAGAGGGAGGTATTAGGTAGATGGCGAGAATATTTTGAGGAACTTTTAAATGTTGAGGAAGAAAGGGAGGCGGTAATTTCATGCACTGGTCAGGGAGGTATACATCTTTTAGGAGTGAAGAAGAGCAGAGTGTAAGTGTGGGGAGGTACGCGAGGCATTACGTAGAATGAAAGGGGGTAAAAGCAGCTGGAACTGATGGGATCATGACAGAAATGTTAAAAGCAGGGGGGGGGGGGATATAGTGTTGGAGTGGTTGGTACTTTTGTTTAATAAATGTATGAAAGAGGGGAAGGTACCTAGGGATTGGCGGAGAGCATGTATAGTCCCTTTATATAAAGGGAAAGGGGACAAAAGAGATTGTAAAAATTATAGAGGAATAAGTTTATTGAGTATACCAGGAAAAGTGTACGGTAGGGTTATAATTGAAAGAATTAGAGGTAAGACAGAATGTAGGATTGCGGATGAGCAAGGAGGTTTCAGAGTGGGTAGGGGATGTGTAGATCAAGTGTTTACATTGAAGCATATATGTGAACAGTATTTAGATAAAGGTAGGGAAGTTTTTATTGCATTTATGGATTTAGAAAAAGCATATGATAGAGTGGATAGGGGAGCAATGTGGCAGATGTTGCAAGTACGTATATGGAATAGGTGGTAAGTTATTAAATGCTGTAAAGAGTTTTTATGAGGATAGTGAGGCTCAGGTTAAGGTGTGTAGAAGAGAGGGAGACTACTTCCCGGTAAAAGTAGGTCTTAGACAGGGATGTGTAATGTGATCATGGTTGTTTAATATATTTATAGATGGGGTTGTAAAAGAAGTAAATGCTAGGGTGTTCGGGAGAGGGGTGGGATTAAATTATGGGGAATCAAATTCAAAATGGGAATTAACACAGTTACTTTTTGCTGATGATACTATGCTTATGGGAGATTCTAAAGAAAAATTGCAAAGGTTAGTGGATGAATTTGGGAATGTGTGTAAAGGTAGAAATTTGAAAGTGAACATAGAAAAGAGTAAGGTGATGAGGGTATCAAATGATTTAGATAAAGAAAAATTGGATATCAAATTGGGGAGGAGGAGTATGGAAGAAGTGAATGTTTTCAGATACAGTGGACCCCCGCATAACAATATTAATCCATTCCTGAGAGCTCATTGTTATGCGAAATTATCGTTATGCGAATGAATTTTCCCCATAAGAAATAATGGAAATCAAATTAATCCGTGCAAGACACCCAAAAGTATGAAAATTTTTTTTTTACCACATGAAATATACATTTTCCTACACCCAAAGAGAAGGATACATGCACAATAGTAGAGTAGTACATGCACAATATATATTGTGCATGTACTACTCTACTAAATGAAGAATAAATGACACTTACCTTTATTGAAGATGCAGCAATGACTGGTGAGACACTGTGTCCTGGGAGTGCCTTTTCCTCCTAAGTACTGTAGGTCCTGTTTGGCATTTTCTTCCAGAACATGCCTTATCACACTGTGTATGCCACTACGATTCATAAATGTCTCAAACCAACCTTTGCTGGCTTTAAATTCACCAATATGAGCACTAGTTCCAGGCATTTTTTCCTGTTATCCTGGGTGATAGTCGACTGGTGTGGGTTGCATCCTGGGAGACAAGATTAAGGACCCCAATGGAAATTAATTAGACAGTCTTCGATGACACTGACCTTTTTGGGTTATCCTGGGTGGCTAACCCTCTGAGGTTAATTGTTTCTTGGTATTCTCAATAAGCCACACCAACAACGGCGCTACAGCAGCAGCAGCAGCAGCAGCAGCTGACAGTGCTACAGCAGCAGCAGACGGTGCTACAGCAGCAGCAGACGGTACTACAGCAGCAGCAGACGGTACTACAGCAGCAGCAGCAGCAGCTGACGGTGGTACAGCAGCAGCAGCAGCTGATGGTGCTACAGCAGCAGCAGCAGCTGACAGTGCTACAACAGCAGCAGCTGACAGTGCAGTAGCAGCAGCTGACAGTGCTACAGCAGCAGCTGACAGTGCTACAGCAGCAGCAGACGGTGCTACAGCAGCAGCAGATGGTACTGCAGCAGCAGCTGACAGTGGTACAGCAGCAGCAGCTGATGGTGCTACAGCAGCAGCAGCATCTGACAGTGCTACAGCAGCAGCAGCTGACAGTGCAGCAGCAGCAGCAGCTGACAGTGCTACAGCAGCAGCAGACGGTGCTACAGCAGCAGCAGACGGTACTACAGCAGCAGCAGCAGCAGCTGACGATGGTAAAGCAGCAGCAGCAGCTGACGGTGGTACAGCAGCAGCAGCAGCTGACAGTGCTACAGCAGCAGCAGCATCAGCAGTTGACCATGGTACCACAGTATTTCGATAATATTTCTCACCCTTTTTACCACAGGGTTGGCAATAGAAGCTTTCTTGGGGCCCATGGTCACTTATTTTACAGAGAAAATCACCAAAAACACTGTAATAATACGAAATACTCTGATTGTGTGCTTGGAGGTTACCGTGGAGGCTGGCTTGTAAACATTGCCACCGGCAGAACATGTGAGGCTGGTTCAGGCCTCACATAGACGCGTCTCGGACGAATAGCGTTGAGCGAGTTTTTTAGCGCTATGCGAGGCAAAATTTTAGTGATAAAATGTATCGGTATGCGGATTTAACGTTATGTGATGCCAACGGTATGCGGGGGTCCACTGTACTTGGGAGTTGACGTGTCGGCGGATGGATTTATGAAGGATGAGGTTAATCATAGAATTGATGAGGGAAAAAAGGTGAGTGGTGCATTGAGGTATATGTGGAGTCAAAAAACGTTATCTATGGAGGCAAAGAAGGGAATGTATGAGAGTATAGTAGTACCAACACTCTTATATGGGTGTGAAGCTTGGGTGGTAAATGCAGCAGCGAGGAGATGGTTGGAGGCAGTGGAGATGTCCTGTCTAAGGGCAATGTGTGGTGTAAATATTATGCAGAAAATTCGGAGTGTGGAAATTAGGAAAAGATGTGGAGTTAATAAAAGTATTAGTCAGAGGGCAGAAGAGGGGTTGTTGAGGTGGTTTGGTCATTTAGAGAGAATGGATCAAAGTAGAATGACATGGAAAGCACATAAATCTATAGGGGAAGGAAGGCGAGGTAGGGGTCGTCCTCGAAAGGGTTGGAGAGAGGGGGTAAAGGAGGTTTTGTGGGCAAGGGGCTTGGACTTCCAGCAAGCGTGCGTGAGCATGTTAGATAGGAGTGAATGGAGACGAATGGTACTTGGGACCTGATGATCTGTTGGAGTGTGAGCAGGGTAATATTTAGTGAAGGGATTCAGGGAAACCGGTTATTTTCATATAGTCGGACTTGAGTCCTGGAAATGGGAAGTACAATGCCTGCACTTTAAAGGAGGAGTTTGGGATATTGGCAGTTTGGAGGGATATGTTGTGTATCTTTATACGTATATGCTTCTAAGCTGTTGTATTCTGAGCACCTCTGCAAAAACAGTGATTATGTGTGAGTGTGGTGAAAGTGTTGAATGATGATGAAAGCATTTTCTTTTTGGGGATTTTCTTTCTTTTTTGAATCACTCTTCCTCGGTGGGAGACGGCCGACTTGTTGAAAAAAAAAAAAATTATACTTACTAAATATAAGGGAACTTTTATAATTGGAAGTTTTCTGTTATTGGATAGTTAGGTATGTACAACCTCTTATTTATTCAAGTCTAATCTCATTATATCTTCTACAGGCTCTATGAAAGTGGCTTGAACTGTATGGGGCAATCATGGCACAGTTCAAGTCTGTGGGATGCTTGTATTAACTACGAACAAAATAATGGCAACCTTGTAACTGTTATGGCTCTCTATAGAAGACTGATACAGACACCAACAAGATTGTTTAATAAACACTGGGATCAGTGAGTTCATTTATGTTTAGTTAGATTCCTCTTCTCACTTATTATTCTTAGACGGATGTTTTCAAGTCAGAATATACATGGTATTCCTAATTTAATATCAGACTCATTATTTATAGTATCGGATGTAGCTTCAGTATTTTTGTGTCTGTTTTCTTTAATTTCTTGATACTTTTGAGTAGAAATGCTGACTGAATCCCTATTCATACATACTATTATGAATGATTCTGTGCATGTTTTAATAAAAAACCTTCCAGGCCTTCACATTATATTTTCATGCCTTTGCTTTATATGACTGACTCAGAACAGTATGAGATGTCAGCTTAATGCAAATTTGGCCATTTATATGGTGGCACATTATACCATACCTTTTACTGCTTGGTATATAGTATAGTGTTGTACAGGATGAGCTCAGGGTTTGTCATGTAGTACTATGTGATGAGCTCAGCACACTCAAATAATCTGTGAGTGATAAATTTTGGCCTAGATATGAGAGAATGGGTCTGTGCAGTGAGTGTGAACCATGTAAAATAGAAAATCCTGCCCCATGCAGAGCATGATGGGAAAACAAAACTGTGACCATATGTATGGTTGAAAATAGCATCTTTGGGATGTATTTTGAGAGGGTTTTTATAGTTTTATTCTCTGTTTCTTGGTATCATTTCATAGAATGGAAGACATATTACTAAAACAAGGGATGATTTTGATTGTATTTGGGACTGGAACTAGCTTGAAATTAAGCTCAGAGTAGTGGAAATATTTGATTTTTGTCAATATTCCAGAGGATGGGTAAAGCCTCCCTACAACCCCCAGTTTGTTTTATGGGTTTTTATTAGGTTTGATTCAATTATTGGGATGCTGTAAACCATGAATAATCTTTCCTGATTATATATTATTATCCAAGAGATAAAGTAAATCTTCTGTTTTCGTGTGATTAAGAATTCAAAATGGAAAGCAAGCGTAATATAGGAGAGGGCTGGGGATGTGACTAATGGACAGAGGAAATGCTGTTTTAGTGCCGGGAATGTCTATATTGTTTATTATGGACTATTTTAAAATTAGTATATTTTGAATTTTGCTAAGTTTGCCAAATTACCAAATTCTGATCACTTTTATTGGGTAGTTGAAATAGTTGAATGGGCAGTTTTTTGTGCTCAGTCACTAGAATGGAAGGCATACTAGTGAAATAGTTAAGAATTTGGTTGTCTAAAACAATTGAAGTGGCCTAAAATAGGACTCAAAGGGGGTGAAATCACTAGTGCGTAAATTGTGCCAGCATAATTCTGTATTTTTTTCACCAGGTTTCATACTTTTGGTATCTTAACCTTTGGAAAAAAGATTCTCTATCATTTCATAAGAAAATTTTTTTTTTTTTTTTTTTTTGCTTGTGTTTAGTTTTGCTTCCCATCTCCAGTGTCTAGCAGTCAGCCATCAAGCTGATCATCAAGTTTCTCCTGATATCTCCTCTTCATTATGGCTATCTCTTGGTGACATTGTTCACTGTGGGGTTCTATTTCACAGTAACTATATATATTGAAGCAATACTAAATGCAGATTTGATTCAGCATTTCCAAATTAGTTATCGACATATGTTTTTGAACCTGAACCGAAACTTTTGTTGGCCAGTAATTAAGAATTTATTAGTTTACTTTACTTACAGTTTTTTAGCTCTAGTTCGAGATCATCATCCACGTAGTCTTCTTCCTGTTGAAGAGTACCAGGCATTACGCAAGCAAGCATGTGAAGAGCTCAAAATTAGGTACACACCGACAAGCCACATGCCTCCCAAAACAATTCAGAAGGTAGGTAAGCTGTATCTTATTTTTCCTGACTTATTAAGTGGCTATTACCATTTGTTTTACATTTGAAAGACTGGGTATTGATTATTGTGGCCCCTTGTATTTTAATATGATCAGACATTTTACCAAGATAGCTAAAGAAATCAGTAGATCAGTTTTCAGTTTAACTTTTCACTCTCAGAGACAAGGTTATGTTAGTAATGGTTGTCAGTAGCTTTTCCCACCCACCATAAAAAAAAAAAAGTGGACTCAGTTGCCTCTAACTCCCACTAATATGAAACCCTGATCATAGTTTAATATAGTTTTCATGTAAAATCAGGAACACGATGACTGAAAAACTTACAGATAGTCATTATTCATCAGCACTGGAGAAAATAAACTCAATAACCTTCCTGTAGAAAGCATGTGCCTCGAGGGAGGTAGGTGCTTCGATGCTAGTGAGGGACTTGATCCAAGGAGCTGAAATTCTTCTCACTTTCTTTGGATAGAAGCTGATTACCTCTTATTCCTCGGCACTATATGACTCCTATGGGTTTAACACTTCTCTAATATACGTGGCATGGCCTTTGTGATTCCTACCATACTACTAAGCATAGTTACTACCCATTGAATTTTCATCTTATTTTGTGTGTGCACTCATGTATTTAAAGAGCACACTGTTGTATTTGTTTCATTGATATTCTTTCCATCGGTTACAAAAACCCTATGTAATGTATCTTGAACTAATACTATTTGTAATAATAGATAAATACCCTCAAACAGTTATATTCTTCCACTTTTATTTTTTAAAAGTTGTACTGAATGTGTAATATATACTGTATATTTCTTAAGGATGTAGTGATAGTTAATTAAGCTTTTCTGATTTGTAATCTTGTAATTTAGAATACTGTACTGTAATAATTTTCATTATAGTTTTCAGTCCCTTTTTGTAGTATGCTTATTTCTGCTCATTTTATAGTTTTGAGATTAGAAATCCAAGATCATTATATACAGAGATGAAATATGTCTCTCAGTTATCATTGACCATTGTTGTTGGTAAAACACAATGGAAATAACCATACAACAAAAATTGATTGAAGATTTTGTGCGAGAGAGAGACTGCTGGAGGTGGCTTCAATGTTCTCTTGCTTGGGCAGAGAGAGAGGTATACTGGTATAATGAGAGCTCAATGTTTGCTGAAACTATTCAGTACTTATGTGAATGTAATGATTCTTTAAATTTTGCAGACTCCACAACCAGAGGATAAACTGACTTCCTGTATAAAGGAAAAGCTTGTGGCTTTATATATCAAAACTCACGAGTGCAATGAGGAGGAAGTGGACAAAAGATGGAAGTTTGAGGAAAAAGTAAGCTACTTTTAGTTCATATTGTTAATATATTTTCCTGCGATTTTATGGTGTAATTTGGCACATTTACTATCATCTCCATACTCCTTGACTAATGCATGTTTTTCATCTTGCATGCAGTAGCACAGCCAGGATTTCAGTCTGGGGAAGGAGGGCTTAAGCCAGGATTTCAATCTGGGGGCTTACAGATCATAAGATGCTGAACAAAAAATGGTCTTTAAAAACATACGAGTCTCAATGTGTACGTGAAATTTCTTAAACTACTGTATCCTGCTCTCATGGTATTTTAGCCCCCTCATAGCTGTGCCACTTCTTCCATGTAATAAGTTCTTGCATTTTTTTTTTATCTTCATATCTTTGATCCCCTTTGCCTAATTAGTAACTTTGTCAGGGAAATAGTTTTCTTCTTCTTCGTCCAACAAACTGCCCATATCCCACTGAGGCAGGGTGGCCCAAAAGAAAAAACGAAGGTTTCTCCTTTTAAATTTAGTAATATGCACAGGAGAAGGGGTTACTAGCCCCTTGCTCCTGGCATTTTAGTCGCCTTATGACACACACGGCTTTTGGAGGAAGAATTCTGTTCCACTTCCCCATGGAGATAAGTGGAAATAAACAAGAACAAGAACTAGTAAGAAAAGAGAAGAAAACCCAGAGGGGTATATCTTTCTTCTTCTTTCAACAAACTGGCCATATCCCACCGAAGCAGGGTGGCCCAAAAAGAAAAACAAAAGTTTCTCTTCTTAATTTTAGTAATGTATTCAGGAGATGGGGTTACTAGCCCCTTGCTCCTGGCATTTTAGTCGCCTCTTACGACATGTATGGCTTACGGAGGAAGAATTCTGCTCCACTTCCCCATGGAGATAAGAAATAAACAAGAAGAAGAACTAGTAAAAAAAATAAAAAAACCCAGAGAAGTAGCAAGATGTTCCTGAAATCTTGCATGTTTATGAGACAGAAAAAAGACACCAGCAATCCTACCATCATGTAAAACAAGTACAGGCTTTCATTTTATGCTCACTTGGCAGGACAGTAGTACCTCCCTGGGCAGTTGCTGTCTACCAACTTACTGCAAAGAGGAAATGAAAGAGAGAAGCTTACGACGACGTTTCGGTCTGACTTGGACCATATACAAAGTCACACGTCGCCGTAAGCTTCTCTCTTTCATGTGCGGGTTATTTGTGTATCGTTCCAGTCACGGTATTGTGCCTTTTTTGTTATTTAAAGAGGAAATAGTTTTGTATTTATTTATTTTGTTTGTGGGCAACATATCTTAAGATGTTGTCTTCAGATTAGCATATAACTTGCGTACAGTTATATGCAAGGCTTTCTATTAAAACTGGGCAGTATTAACCACTTCATAGTTGTTGCAGTTTAAAAACTGTAGTGTAAAGCACCCTTCTGGCAAGACAGTGATGGAGTGAATGATGGTGAAAGTTTTTCTTTTTCGGGCCACCCTGCCTTGGTGGGAATCGGCCAGTGTGATAATAAAATAAAATAAAAAATAGTCATTACTTCTTTACTTCTGTGAGATGGTGTGGCAATGGATTGGAACTCTTCAGGGGGACAACCTTGATGTCAGTAAAAGGCTTTAGATCAGAAAAATTGGAGTCTCCCCTCCTCTTCCTTGGATCAAACCTGAGTGCCCCCTGATCCTCAGGCACTGTATGACCCCTGTGGGATTAGTATTTCAATGTGAGTATATTGAATATATTAAATATATATTGTGAATATATAGATGGGATACAAGGAGAATAGAAGCATCAGGGAAGAGAGAGGTGAAGGTTTATAAACTAAAAGAGGAGGCAGTTAGGGTAAGATATAAACAGCTATTGGAGGATAGATGGGCTAATGAGAGCATAGGCAATGGGGTCGAAGAGGTATGGGGTAGATTTAAAAATGTAGTGTTAGAGTGTTCAGCAGAAGTTTGTGGTTACAGGAAAGTGGGTGTGGGAGGGAAGAGGAGCGATTGGTGGAATGATGATGTAAAGAAAGTAGTAAGGGAGAAAAAGTTAGCATATGAGAAGTTTTTACAAAGTAGAAGTGATTCAAGGAGGGAAGAGTATATGGAGAAAAAGAGAGAGGTTAAGAGAGTGGTGAAGCAATGTAAAAAGAGAGCAAATGAGAGAGTGGGTTAGATGTTATCAACAAATTTTGTTGAAAATAAGAAAAAGTTTTGGAGTGAGATTAACAAGTTAAGGAAGCCTAGAGAACAAATGGATTTGTCAGTTAAAAATAGGAGAGGAGAGTTATTGAATGGAGAGTTAGAGGTATTGGGAAGATGGAAGGAATATTTTGAGGAATTGTTAAATGTTGATGAAGATAGGGAAGCTGTGATTTCGTGTATAGGGCAAGGAGGAATAACATCTTGTAGGAGTGAGGAAGAGCCAGTTGTGAGTGTGGGGGAAGTTCGTGAGGCAGTAGGTAAAATGAAAGGGGGTAAGGCAGCCGGGATTGATGGGATAAAGATAGAAATGTTAAAAGCAGGTGGGGATATAGTTTTGGAGTGGTTGGTGCAATTATTTAATAAATGTATGGAAGAGGGTAAGGTACCTAGGGATTGGCAGAGAGCATGCATAGTTCCTTTGTATAAAGGCAATGGGGACAAAAGAGAGGGATATGTTGTGTATCTTTATACGTATATGCTTCTAAGCTGTTGTATTCTGAGCACCTCTGCAAAAGCAGTGATAATGTGTGAGTGTGGTGAAAGTGTTGAATGATGATGAAAGTATTTTCTTTTTGGGGATTTTTCTTTTTTGGGTCACCCTGCCTCGGTGGGAGACGGCCGACTTGTTGAAAAAAAAAAAAAAAGTCTGTTGAGTATACCTGGTAAAGTGTATGGTAGAGTTATTATTGAAAGTATTAAGAGTAAGACGGAGAATAGGATAGCAGATGAACAAGGAGGCTTTAGGAAAGGTAGGGGGTGTGTGGACAAGGTGTTTACAGTGAAACATATAAGTGAACAGTATTTAGATAAGGCTAAAGAGGTTTTTGTGGCATTTATGGATTTGGAAAAGGCGTATGACAGAGTGGATAGGGGGCCAATGTGGCAGATGTTGCAGGTGTATGGTGTAGGAGGTAGGTTACTGAAAGCAGTGAAGAGTTTTTACGAGGATAGTGAGGCTCAAGTTAGAGTATGTAGGAAAGAGGGAAATTATTTCCCAGTAAAAGTAGGCCTTAGACAAGGATGTGTGATGTCACCGTGGTTGTTTAATATATTTATAGATGGGGTTGTAAGAGAAGTAAATGTGAGGGTCTTGGCAAGAGGCGTGGAGTTAAAAGATAAAGAATCACACACAAAGTGGGAGTTGTCACAGTTGCTCTTTGCTGATGACACTATGCTCTTGGGAGATTCTGAAGAGAAGTTGCAGAGATTGGTGGATGAATTTGGTAGGGTGTGCAAAAGAAGAAAATTAAAAGTGAATACAGGAAAGAGTAAGGTTATGAGGATAACAAAAAGATTAGGTGATGAAAGATTGGGTATCAGATTGGAGGGAGAGAGTATGGAGGAGGTGAATGTATTCAGATATTTGGGAGTGGACGTGTCAGCGGATGGGTCTATGAAAGATGAGGTGAATCATAGAATTGATGAGGGGAAAAGGGTGAGTGGTGCACTTAGGAGTCTGTGGAGACAAAGAACTTTGTCCTTGGAGGCAAAGAGGGGAATGTATGAGAGTATAGTTTTACCAACGCTCTTATATGGGTGTGAAGCATGGGTGATGAATGTTGCAGCGAGGAGAAGGCTGGAGGCAGTGGAGATGTCATGTCTGAGGGCAATGTGTGGTGTGAATATAATGCAGAGAATTCGTAGTTTGGAAGTTAGGAGGAGGTGCGGGATTACCAAAACTGTTGTCCAGAGGGCTGAGGAAGGGTTGTTGAGGTGGTTCGGACATGTAGAGAGAATGGAGCGAAACAGAGTGACTTCAAGAGTGTATCAGTCTGTAGTGGAAGGAAGGCGGGGTAGGGGTCGCCCTAGGAAAGGTTGGAGGGAAGGGGTAAAGGAGGTTTTGTGTTCGAGGGGCTTGGACTTCCAGCAGGCATGCGTGAGCGTGTTTGATAGGAGTGAATGGAGACAAATGGTTTTTAATACTTGACATGCTGTTGGAGTGTGAGCAAAGTAACATTTATGAAGGGGTTCAGGGAAACCGGCAGGCCGGACTTGAGTCCTGGAGATGGGAAGTACAGTGCCTGCATTCTGAAGGAGGGGTGTTAATGTTGCAGTTTAAAAAGTGTAGTGTAAAGCACCCTTCTGGCAAGACAGTGATGGAGTGAATGATGGTGAAAGTTTTTCTTTTTCGGGCCACCCTGCCTTGGTGGGAATCGGCCAGTGTGATAATAAAAAAAAAATAATTGGTGGAAAACATTGGCCATTTTCCACCAAGGCAGGTGACCTGAAAAAAAAAGAAACACTTTCATCATCATTAACTCCATCACTGTCTTGCCAGAGGCATGCCTACACTAGTTAAAAAAATGCAACATATCAACACCCCTCCTTCAGAGTGCAGGCACTGTACTTCCCACCTCCAGGACTCAAGTCTGCCTTGCTGGTTTCCCTGAATGCCTTCCTAAATGTTACTTTGCTTCCACTCCAACAGCACATCAAGTCATGAAAACCATTTGTCTCCACTCACTCCTAACACGCTCATGCACACCTGCTGGAAAGTCCAAGCCCCTCGCACACAAATCCTCCTCAACCTTCTCCATCCAACCTTTTTTGGGCCGACCCCTACCCCACCTTCCTTCCACTACAGATTTATGTGCTCCCCAAGTCATTCTGTTTCGTTCTATCCTCTCTAAATAGCTAACCCACCTCAATCCTTCCTCAGCCCTCTGGATAATACTTTTAGTAATTCCACACCTCCTAATTTCCAAACTACGAATTCTCTGCATAATATTTATACCACACATTGGCCTCAGACATGACATCTCCACTGCCTCCAACCTTTTCCTACTGAGGTAGAGTGACCCGAAAAAAGAAGAAACACTTTAACCCTCACTCATTCCATCACTGTCTTGCCAGGGGCATGCCAATACTGCAGTTCAGATGCCCATCCAAACTGTAAATATCCCCACTCCCTCCTTTAGAGTGCAGGCACTGTACTTCCCACCTCCATGATTCAAGTTTGGCTAACTGGTTTCCCTGTATCCTTTTGTAAATGTTACTGTGCTCACACACCAACAGCACATCAAGTCATAAAAACCAACTGCCTCCATTCACTCATATCTAACATGCTCACACATGCCTGCTGAATATCCAAGCCCCTTATACAAAACCTGTTTTACCTCCTGCCTCCAACCTTTCCTATAGTAACCTCTACCCTGCCTTGTCTCCACCGCAGATTTATACACCCTCCAAGTCATCCTATTTTACTCCACCCATTCTAAATGTCTAAACCAACTCAGCAACCCCTCCTCAGTCCTCTGGATAATTCGCTTAGTAACCCTGCATCTCCTGATCTCCAAACAAAGAATTCTCTACATAATATTAACAACATACATTGCCCTCAGATATGTCATTTCTACTGCCTCCAGCCTCATCCTCACTGCAGCATTCACAACCCATGCCTCAAACCCAAATAAGAGTGTTGGCACCATTATATTCTCATACATTACTCTTTTTGCCTCCATGGATAATGTTCGTTATCTCCACAGATACCTTAGTGCACTACTCACCTTTTTGCTCTCATCAATTCTATGGTTCACCTTGTCTTTCATATACCCATCTGCTGACAAGTTCACTCCCAGATATCTGAACACATTCGCTTCCTCCATACTTCCGCCATTGAATATGATATATAATCTTTCATTACGTAAATTTTTTGTTACCCTCGTCATCTTGCCGTTTCGTATATTCCCAAATTTGCTGTTTCGTATTTTCCCAAATTTGTCCACCAGCCTTTGTAGCTTCTCTTCAGAATCTTCCGAAAGCACAGTGTCATCGACAAAAATGTAACTGTGAGAACTCCTACTTTGTAGTAGATTCCATATATTTTAATCCCACACCTCTCTCCAACACCCTAGCATTCATTTGTTTTACAACCCCATCTATAAATATGTTAAACAACCATGTAGTGTTTATATTAAGTGATACAGCATATTATTTAATTCTAGCTGGCAAATTATACTGAACTGTAATGTCTGTTTCTTCTTTATTTTCCAGATAAAACGACCATACTTCCATGTGAAACCTCTAGATAAGAGACAGATCAAGAATTGGAATGAGTACTTGGATTTTGAGATAGGTGAAGGAGAGCCTTTAAAGATTATACCATTGTTTGAACGAAGTTTAGTTGCATGTGCACTCTATGAAGACTTTTGGTGTCGTTATGCTCTCTACATGGAGAAGCACACACAAAATGTTTTGGACGAAAAAGAGAGAGATTTAGCAAGTGATAAAGATACAGGGAATGATGGATATGAAAAAGAATGTGAAGATAAAAAGAACACAGAAATTACAGTGCCAGAAAGTGTAGAAAATGATGAAGAAAATAATAATGCAGGAAAACATCATGAGGCTAACAAAGAGGAAGATAGTTTAGATGGTGAAAATATTGAAAAACAGGTAAATGATAAAAGTATCGATGTTAAAAATGTTAAAGATGATACAGTGGTGCGGGGCTCTGATGTGAAAGTTGACAAAAACATTGTGAGGGACTTGAGAGTTGAAAGCCATGATAACAATGATTCTACTATTGGTAGTGATTTGGTGAAAATGAACCTAAGAGAGCAGTTACAAACTAGTGAAGTAGGTGATGGACAAAATAAAGTGGCAACAGAAATTATACAAGTTGAAAATGAGAGACAAATTGCAAAAAAGACAGAGCCCCCTACCTTAGAGCAACTGAAGAGTGAACTGTGTTCTGACTTGAACATTAGTGAACGTGTGTTAAAGTGCCCCCCGCTCACCCCTCAGTGGATTAAGAGTGGGGTGAGCTGGGAGGACGTGAGGCGTATATACCGCCGTGGTGCCTGGATTCATTGTCCCAGTAAACCAGGCATCCTCATGCAATGGGCAGAGTTCGAGGAGACACAAGGTAAAGAAGGCAACCCGGGGATTAGTATCCAGACTCGGGGGTCATCTGCAGTAAGCTCTTTTTGTTTAGCGTGTGTGGTTTTTTACTACAAAATATTACAAAAATTACTAGCAGCCTTCTTTAAATCATATCTGCATATATGCTGCACTATTTTGTAAAGTGGTTTGTTAATATAAATATGACGTGATTTCCCATTTAAAGTAATTCTAGTTTGTAAATACGTATATTTTTTATTTTTTTTTAACAAGTCAGCCGTCTCCCACCGAGGCAGGGTGACCCAAAAAGAAAGAAAATCCCCAAAAAGAAAATGCTTTCATCATCATTCAACACTTTCACCTCATTCACACATAATCACTGTTTTTGCAGAGGTGCTCAGAACATAACAGTTTAGAAGCATATACGTATAAAGATACACAACATATCCCTCCAAACTGCTAATATCCCGAACCCCTCTTTTAGAGTGCAGGCATTGTACTTCCCATTTCCAGGACTCAAGTCCGGCTATACAAAAATAACTGGTTTCCCTGAATCCCTTCACTAAATATTACCCTGCTCACACTCCAACAGATCGTCAGGTCCCAAATACCATTCGTCTCCATTCACTCCTATCAAACACACTCATACATGCCTGCTGCCTGCTGGTACATAATTTAGCAAAACTGAATTCATGTTACAGTACAATATTGGTTTTGCAATGCCACATAAATTTTCAAGAAATTGATCAGTTTAATTGGTTCTTAACATTTGATATGCCAGAAGATTTTAGGCAAATTTGATCCTAACGTGATTTTTATTAAGATTCTTTTTTTCGTGAACATAAATCCCGTGTCGAATACTGTGACTGGTGTATATCTATGATGCTGCCAAATAGTCAAAGATAGGCCACTTGTAAATGATATCTAACTTTATATTCAAGAAGATGGGTGGTTGAATGCAATATATATGAAACAGAGTTACTGGAAATTTGTTGATAAACTATTGATGTCAGTTTATTACTGACAGCCAAATAATTTAGGGAAAACATTGCACGTTTTATCTGTCTGTGAATAAAGTACATTTGCTTTATATGATAAAGAAGCTATTATATGATGCATCTGGATACTAGTTATTATATAAGACTTTGGTGTTACTGAACATCAAAAAAAATAGAATAAATATAATATGCTTGACTGATTCTTAAAAGGTGAAACTAAAAAATTATTAATAAAAGGAGCCAGTTGCATTTTGTCTTTGGATTTTGTTTAAAAACAAAAACCTAGGAAGAGTATGTTGTACAGTACTTAAAAAATTTCTTTTTGTCTTATGAGACAGAAAAGCTGGGCATCATGAGGTTTTGCCCAGTAATTTTTAAATTAGATATTAGATAAAGATATTGAAGAATAATTGTTTTCTTGTAGATAGAGGGCTGTTGATAAAGTTAATACAATTGACTATCGGATAATGTGGTGTGGCCAAGGTATGATGGTACTGGATGCATATGAATGGAGACCTGAGTTTCACTGCATAGCCTCACTACCAGGCACTCTAGCCTTCACCCACCATGCCCACTGCCATCACCCATTTTTCACACCCTTCTGCTATTTTTTTTTACACCCCTCTTCCTATTTTTTTACACCCCTCTGCCTTTATGCTCTAGCTCTCCCCCACCTTGCATCCCCTTACCCACCTTCACCGATCCATTCACCCACATGCCCTCAGCCTCCTGTCCATATGTTGGAGGGCAGGACAGTTGTGTACTGACATGTACACCCAACATCAGGAGTCCACCTTCATTCATCTCCCACAGTTGCCCTTTACCCATACTCCCCCTTCCATGCTTTCCCCCCACCCACCATCCTTCCAAGGACCTACTCCCACAAGCCTACCTCTCTTTGAACACTCGCTGTCACCTGCATATGCTCACCCACCTGCCTCTACCCTTTCCCCACACCAGTTCCCATCTGACCATGCACTCTAGTGTCATGTGGGATGTACAGCGTGTGAAGGGAACATGGGATGGCAGTGACAGCATGCACCCGCTGGCCACTCTCACTGCTTCACTAAGAGCTTCACTCGCCCTTCTTTACCCTGTGCCTTGTTCTCACCCACTAGCTCGCATGCTTCCTCTCACCACCTCATACAGTCCCACCCACTAGCTCACTTGAACGCTCCCACTCACTAACTCGCACGCTCCTGCTCATTAGCTTGCACACTCCCACCCACTAGCTCACTCGCATGCCCCCACCCACTAGCTCACTCGCACGCTTCCACCCACTAGCTCCCATGCTCCCACCCACTAGCTCGCACGATCCCGCCCACTAGCCCACAGGACACTGGACTTAACCCTGAAGCTCAATGTGAGACAGAAGGGAAAGAATGTGGCACATGCCACATTTCCCCTACATGTACTCTGTGTAAACCAATTTTTTATGGCTTGTTCACTAAAAATATGCCGCAATTTTGCAACCGTGTTATAGCGAAAGACGTGATTATAGATCGTGTGTTATCTGAGTCTACTGTAGTATATTACATTGTCACTTATTGTTAAATTTTTAAAAAATTGTACCACTGAAATATTTATTATCTTTACAGAGGAAATAATGGACATTTAAATAAATTTTAATTATGTTGTGAAAGTAGTATGATAGCTTAAATACTGTTGGCTTAGATCACAGATTGTTTACACATGAGATATTTTAATTTTTCTTTAATTATCTAAATAAGTTTTGATTTTGAAGCAAGGTTTTCTAACTTCAAATAGCACAGATAGCAGTAGTGTTCAATAGCACAATTGTTTGCCATTATTCTTTGTATTTAAACCAAGCATTGCTAGAATAGCAATACAGGTATGTAAAATGCCTTCTCATTATTTTAAATTTTATTACTGACAAATAGGAAAAGATACTGATAATTCATTTGGATAATTTTTTTTTTGTTTCTCCATACTTTATTCTTATAATGTTTTCATTATCCTTCTCTCTTCATGTTTATACCATTTTGACTAATTTTGTTGACAATCATTCTCCATCATTGTACTTCCTGTTTTAATTAAGTTTTCACTCACAGACTGCCAGTTGCCATTTGAAATTACATAGCAGTTGATTTCATTTTGAGTATAATGTGGATTTTAATAATATATAATGCAAATAAGAACTGTTTTCAGGAAACTTGGACACATCTAGAGAACTTCTCAATACTGTCATTACTAAGTACCCAACGCTGCTTAAGGCCAGGTAAGCATACAGCTTAAATGTCGCTGTTAATCTGCCCACAGTATTTGAGTTCATTGATTTCTAGTTTGGCATAGCGTGACTTTTTGTTTGCTAGGATTGCAGTATTGTGTATATACAATGTCGATATTGGTATTTTGCAGTCGATTTCCTTAAAATATGTTTATTATACGTATTATATGGCGAGAATTATAGGGGTCATTCTTAGAAAGATTGGTGGGAGGGGGATGTTAAGGAGGTTTGGTATGTGAGGGGTTTGGACATCCAGCAAGTGTGTGCGAGTATGTTAGGTAGGAGTGGTTTTTATGACTACATGCTGTTGCAGTGTGAACACCATACATTTATGAAGGGATTCAGGAGAAATTGGTTAGCAGGACTTGAGTCCTGGAGGTGGGAAGTACAGTGCATGCACTCTGAAGGAGGGGTGGCAACACTGGTTTGGAGGGATATCTGAGCTGTAATGTCGGCACACTTCTGGCAAGATAGTGATAGAGTGATTGATAATGAAAGTGTTTCTTCTTTTTTGGGTCACCCTTCCTTGGTGAACGATAGACTGTGTGTTAAAGAAAAAAATCATAAAAACTTGTAAAGTTTCGATCACCCAAAAAATGCTATGATCTCTTATTTAAAGGCTTGTGTTGCTGTACTTCATGCAGGTATTTTCACCCTAATGCAAGTAAATAAGAAAATTTGCTCTAACACAAACTACCCCACATGCTGCTTGAAAAGATCCAAGAGGCTCAATCCATATAAGCATCAAACTAACTATGGTATTTGCAACCATACACATACCATGAGACTTTTGAGTGCCAGGAAGCAAAAAGAAAAGAACGGCAAGAATACAAAATATTACCAAAATGTTCACAGACTGCTGTGAGAAAAACTAGTTGAGGTTGTCTTCCTCAAAATACTCTCCTTGGGGTCTATACACTGATCCCAATGCCTCTGCCACTTCTTGTAACATTTCTGGAACTCTTTTTTTCCTAACTGTGTTTAGCACGGCCTGCGATTCTACTTGAATCACCTCCACATCATTAAAATGCCATTTTTATTTTTAGGAAGAGAAAGAAGTCATGGGGGGTGGCTAGGTCTAGGGAGTAGGAAGGGTTGGGGGATGACTGCCATGTTATTTTTGGCCAAAAAACACTCAATATATAGTGCTGCGGAAGCAGGGGCATTGTCTTGGTGAATGAAACAGTTGTTGGACACCCATGATGCCGTACGTTTCCTTGAAACATCTCAGAACTTCGACATAAAAATTTTGGTTAACTGTCTGCCTTGATGGAACAAATTCCCAATGCAACCTTTTGGTATAAACTCTATAACAACAGTAATAAAGTGCTAGATCACTTTTCACCCAATAAGCTGAATTTTTACATTATCCCTTGCACCTACTCTCTCTTTGCTGATTCACACAGCAAGCCTCCATCATCTTTTAAAATATTTGGTGAGGAGTGTTTGATGATGGATGATGGTAGACATCTTAGTTCATGGAACCCTTCACAGAAAGTAGTTTTTCATACTTGAAAAATTGTGTCATTTACCTTTATACCTATATGTTTTTCTTCCTTTTTTCATCCTTTTTTTTAATCTATTCTTGGACCATATTTTTTAGGCATATGAAGTGCACTTTTTTTCCTCAAAAAAGTCTTAGAAAACCACCCTGCACCTTATATGTTCAAGGTCAGGGTGAAAGGTAGGCTTTGGGTTATGCTTTAGGGTAAAGTAAGAGGGTAATTTGCCCTTGAATGTAATTACTGATTTACCATTATAATGCTTCTGTCATGTGCCTTATATACTGGACAATACAGTATGTCTTTTCTTCACTTATATTTTATGGTTTTATGTGTTGCATTTTTTCTGCCCTTTTATTTCTAATTTGCATCTACATCTTTTCTTCTTTCACTCATAATTTATTCTTGCACTTATGGCCTAGTACATTCAGTTTCATCTCACATGTCAGAGTTTGTTGGTGCGAACCTACAGTGTTGAGTTGTAATAAATATTCTTGAGAGTATAGTGGTACCAACACTTATATTGGGTGTGAAGCATGGGTTATGGATGTTGCATCAAGAAGGAGGCTGGAGGCAGTGGAGATGTTGTGTCTCAGGGCAATGTGTGGAGAAAATGTTATGCAGAGAATTCATAGTTTGGATATTAGGAGGAGGTGTGTGAAGTTACTAAAAGTATTGTCTTGAGGGCTGAGGAGGGATTGTTGATGTGGTTTGGTCATTTAGAGAGAATGGAGCAAAATAGGATTACAGTACTTGGAGGGCATATAAATCTGTGGAGGAAGGAAGGTGGGATAGGGGTTGTCTTAGGAAAGGTTGGAGGGAGTAGGTACAGGAAGTTTTGTATGCAGTGGACTCAAACGTATACCAGGCATGTGATAGGAGTGAGTGGAGACAAATGGTTTTTGGGACATGATGAGCTGTAATATTTTGGGTAATATTTTGTGAAGGGATTCAGGGAAACCAGTTAGTGGGACTTGCGTCCTGGACGTGGAAAGTACAGCATCTACAGCATAAAGGAGGGGTTTGGGATATTTGCTGTTTAGAGGGACATCTAAACTATCGTATCTGCGAGCCTCTGGCAAAACAGTGATAGTGTGAATAATGGTGAAAGTGTTTCTTTTTCGGATCACCCTGTCTTGGTGGGAGATGGCAAGCATGTTAAAAAGAAAAAACTTGTATCTTTTTCTCATTTTGTCTTCTATTCATTCATGTTTAACCCTTAAACTATCCAAATGTAGCTCTACGTTCACTTGCATAGCGCTCTGAATATTTTTTGAAAAAAAAAAAAAAAAAAAAAAAAAGCTTTTTGCTTATAATGATGAATGTATTTTTCCCAGCATCCCCAAATTTTGTTATACTGCACACACTTGAGTGCACAGACCCATTCTCTTATGTCTAGGCAACTCAGGCCTATTGTGCCAAGGTTGAAAGCATGTAAAATAAAATGTAGATCTACATTCAGAGTGCTGCACACGTGAATGTCGATCTACGTTTGGACAGTTTAAGGATTAATTCCTTAGACAGTTCTTTGTTTTTCTCACATTCTTATTTCTCCGTGCAAGTAGTTTAAGACTACTTCACCTACATCTAATCACCATAAGTTCTTCAGTAAGGCTTTCGATAGAGTTCCACATCAGGGGCTATCGAGGAAACTTAAGGCACACGGAATAGGAGGAGAAATTTTTTCCTGGGTTGAGGCATGGTTGACGAATGGGCAGCAGAGAGTTTGCATAAATGGTGAGAAATCAGAATGGGGGCATGTCACAAGTAGTGTTCCACAGGGGTCAGTGTTAGGCCCCTTGTTGTTCACAATCTACATAAACGACATAGATGAGGGAATAAATAGCGACATAAGCAAATTTGCTGATGACACCAAAATAGGCCATCCAATTCATTCTAATGAGGACATTAGAGCAGTCCAGGATGATTTGAATAGACTGATGCAGTGGTCGGAGAAGTGGCAGATGCAGTTTAATATAGACAAATGTAAAGTGGTAAATGTTGGACACGAAAATAATCATGCCACATATAAACTAAATAATGTAGATCTTAATGTTACAGATTGCAAAAAGGATTTAGGAGTTTTGGTTAGTAGTAATCTAAAACCAAGACAACAGTGCATTAGTGTTCGCAATAAAGCTAACAGAATCCTTGGCTTCATAGCAAGAAGTATAAATAATAGAAGTCCTCAGGTTGTTCTTCAACTCTATATATCTTTGGTTAGGCCTCACTTAGATTATGCTGCACAGTTTTGGTCACTGTGGGAGACGACCAACTTGTTGAAAAAAAAAAAAAAAAAAAAATTACAGAATGGATATAAATGCACTGGAAAATGTACAGAGGAGGATGACAAAGTTGATCCCATGTATCAGAAATCTTCCCTATGAGAATAGACTGAAGGTCCTGAATCTGCACACTGTAGAAAGGCATGGAATTAGAGGGGATATGATTGAGGTGTATAAATGGAAATCAGGAATTAATAAAGGGGATATAAACAGCGTGCTAAAAATATCTAACATAGACAGGACTCGCAGCAATGGTTTTAAATTGGAGAAATTCAGATTCAGGAAGGATATAGGAAAGCACTGGTTTGGTAATAGAGTACCGTCATAGACGCTAAGACATTGTGTAGTTTTAAAAATAGGTTGGATAAATACATGAGTGGATGTGGGTGGGTGTGAATTGGACCTGACTAGCTTGTGCTACTAGGTCGGATGCACTGCTCCTCCCTTAAGTGACGTGTCTGACCTCACTAGGTCAAGGCATTGGCTTAAGCCGATGGGAGAAATGGAGCTGCCTTGCATAGGGCAGTAGGCCTGTTGTAGTGTTCCTCCTTTCTTATGTTCTTAAGTATTTGAAAATGACTAAAATGAATGAGTTTGTAGAGGGAATAAGACTGTATGTAGACAGAATATACAGTGAATATTTTCTTTATTGATAAATTACTTATAATTAATAAAGAGTCAAAAATTTTGCAGTGAACTCTCAGTATTTATCTTTAGAATGTGTATTAAAAACTAATGCAGTTACAATATGTGTACTTACATCTTGTTACAACCAGGATGTACCTGATAGAGCTGGAGCGTCGGGCAGGTTGTTATCAACGAGTGGAAGAACTGTATGCAGAGGCATCTCGCACATTTACCCAACCACGCCAGCGCTCATGGTTGGCCATCAAATACGCTCGCTTTCTCTTTAAGGTAAGAGGACTAAATACAATTTTTTATGTGCACTATGTGGAATATAAAATCTCATTTTATTTTATTTTATTTGGAATGATGAAATCAGAATGGAAACTCTGGGATGAAAATATTTTTTTTTTTTTTTTTTTTTTTTTTTTTTTTTTTTCAACAAGTCGGCCGTCTCCCACCGAGGCAGGGTGACCCAAAAAAGAAAGAAAATCCCCAAAAAGAAAATACTTTCATCATCATTCAACACTTTCACCACACTCGCACATTATCACTGTTTTTGCAGAGGTGCTCAGAATACAACAGTCTAGAAGCATAAACATATAAAGATACACAACATATCCCTCCAAACTGCCAATATCCCAAACCCCTCCTTTAAAGTGCAGGCATTGTACTTCCCATTTCCAGGACTCAAGTCCGACTATATGAAAATAACCGGTTTCCCTGAATCCCTTCACTAAATATTACCCTGCTCACACTCCAACAGATCGTCAGGTCCCAAGTACCATTCGTCTCCATTCACTCCTATCTAACACGCTCACGCACGCTTGCTGGAAGTCCAAGCCCCTTACCCACAAAACCTCCTTTACCCCCTCTCTCCAACCCTTTCGAGGACGACCCCTACCCCGCCTGCCTTCCCCTATAGATTTATATGCTTTCCATGTCATTCTACTGTGATCCATTCTCTCTAAATGACCAAACCACCTCAACAACCCCTCTTCTGCCCTCTGACTAATACTTTTATTAACTCCACACCTTCTCCTAATTTCCACACTCCGAATTTTCTGCATAATATTTACACCACACATTGCCCTTAAACAGGACATCTCCGCTGCCTCCAACCGTCTCCTCGCTGCTGCATTTACCACCCAAGCTTCACACCCATATAAGAGTGTTGGTACTACTATACTTTCATACATTCCCTTCTTTGCCTCCATAGATAACGTTTTTTGACTCCACATATACCTCAACGCACCACTCACCTTTTTTTCCCTCATCAATTCTATGATTAACCTCATCCTTCATAAATCCATCCGCCGACACGTCAACTCCCAAGTATCTGAAAACATTCACTTCTTCCATACTCCTCCTCCCCAATTTGATATCCAATTTTTCTTTATCTAAATCATTTGACACCCTCATCACCTTACTCTTTTCTATGTTCACTTTCAACTTTCTACCTTTACACACATTCCCAAACTCATCCACTAACCTTTGCAATTTTTCTTTAGAATCTCCCATAAGCACAGTATCATCAGCAAAAAGTAACTGTGTCAATTCCCATTTTGAATTTGATTCCCCAAATTTAATCCCACCCCTCTCCCAAACACCCTAGCATTTACTTCCTTTACAACCCCATCTATAAATATATTAAACAACCATGGTGACATTACACATCCCTGTCTAAGACCTACTTTTAACCGGGAAGTAGTCTCCCTCTCTTCTACACACCCTAACCTGAGCCTCACTATCCTCATAAAAACTCTTTACAGCATTTAATAACTTACCACCTATTCCATATACTTGCAACATCTGCCACATTGCTCCTCTATCCACTCTATCATATGCCTTTTCTAAATCCATAAATGCAATAAAAACTTCCCTATCTTTATCTAAATACTGTTCACATATATGCTTCAATGTAAACACCTGATCTACACATCCCCTACCCACTCTAAAACCTCCTTGCTCATCCGCAATCCTACATTCTGTCTTACCTCTAATTCTTTCAATTATAACCCTACCGTACACTTTTCCTGGTATACTCAGTAAGCTTATTCCTCTATAATTTTTACAGTCTCTTTTGTCCCCTTTCCCTTTATATAAAGGGACTATACATGCTCTCTGCCAATCCCTAGGTACCTTCCCCTCTTTCATACATTTATTAAACAAAAGTACCAACCACTCCAACACTATATCCCCCCCTGCTTTTAACATTTCTGTCATGATCCCATCAGTTCCAGCTGCTTTACCCCCTTTCATTTTACGTAATGCCTCACGTACCTCCCCCACACTTACATTCTGCTCTTCTTCACTCCTAAAAGATGGTATACCTCCCTGACCAGTGCATGAAATTACTGCCTCTGTTTCTTCCTTAACATTTAAAAGTTCCTCAAAATATTCTCGCCATCTACCCAATACCTCCATCTCCCCATCTACTAACTCCCCTACTCTGTTTTTAACTGACAAATCCATATTTTCCCTAGGCTTTCTTAACTTGTTTAACTCACTCCAAAATTTTTTCTTATTTTCATTAAAATTTCTTGACAGTGCCTCTCCCACTCTATCATCTGCTCTCCTTTTGCACTCTCTCACCACTCTCTTTACCTTTCTTTTACTCTCCATATACTCTGCTCTTCTTATAACACTTCTGCTTTGTAAAAACCTCTCATAAGCTACCTTTTTCTCTTTTATCACACCCTTTACTTCATCATTCCACCAATCACTTCCTCTTTTCCTCCTGCCCCCACCCTCCTATAACCACAAACTTCTGCCCCACATTCTAATACTGCATTTTTAAAACTATTCCAACCCTCTTCAACCCCCCCACTACTCATCTTTGCACTAGCCCACCTTCTGCCAATAGTCGCTTATATCTCACCCGAACTTCCTCCTCCCTTAGTTTATACACTTTCACCTCCCTCTTACTTGTTGTTGCCACCTTCCTGTTTTCCCATCTACCTCTTACTCTAACTGTAGCTACAACTAAATAATGATCCGATATATCAGTTGCCCCTCTATAAACATGTACATCCTGGAGCCTACCCATCAACCTTTTATCCACCAATACATAATCTAATAAACTACTTTCATTACGTGCTACATCATACCTTGTATATTTATTTATCCTCTTTTTCATAAAATATGTATTACTTATTACCAAATTTCTTTCTACACATAGCTCAATTAAAGGCTCCCCATTTACATTTACCCCTGGCACCCCAAATTTACCTACTACTCCCTCCATAACATTTTTACCCACTTTAGCATTAAAATCCCCAACCACCATTACTCTCACACTTGATTCAAAACTCCCCACGCATTCACTCAACATTTCCCAAAATCTCTCTCTCCTCTACACTTCTCTCTTCTCCAGGTGCATATATATACAGTAAAACTTCATTAATAGGCTAATAGGGGGGAGGGGGTG